TCGTCTGGTTCATAATGATCGCCTTGAAGCGAGAAAAGTCGCCATTATTGCCCTCCCCTAGCTAGTATATAGTAGTATATATCATCATCGGCCCATTGCTTTCGGTGTCCCTCTAGATCTTCTATATATTCTACTTTTATTAGTCCACCGTCGACTAGACTGCTCACACTTGATGTAACGACCCAAAAATCCACACACTAAAAATCCCAACTACAAAATTTTTGTTTTAACCCCATGTAATGTTGAGTGCCATGTGTAGGGGCCAACCCTAGGTATTGCATGTAAGTATAACCGGAGTAGTCAATTTCATAACCATATCATGACCCATGTCATATATGAGTGTTTAAATCCCAACACGTAGAACCTTGCATGCATAATTATTATTGTAACATGTGATTTGGATTTTCGTTGCTTTATGTGATACTTGACTAACTCCTTTAATAATTAATAAACCTTCAAACAATTAATACTCAACTCAAAGGATAAAATAAGGGAGAGAAAAGAGGGAGGCAGCAGCTCAGCCTAGCCTGCCTCGACCAGCCCAGCTTGCCAACCGCCTGCCCTCCCACTCGCTCACGCGGCCCACGAAGTCGGCCCAGCATCGCCGCCCGCACGCGCACAGCCGCCGACAAGCCGGACCCGCTTGTCAGCTATCACGCGCCGCACGCAGCCACATCACGCCAAGCGCCTGACGACCCAACCCCTCTTGTCAGCACAGTAGCATCTTCTTCCCCTCGCCCACGCATTCTCCCCGCGCGACCGGAAGCCGACCAGCGTGGCAGGCGCGGGCCCAGGGTCACGCAAATCGCATGACCTTGTTTCCCCTTGCGCCACACGTATCACCACCGCCCGATCGCCGTCCGCCATTGGAGCCCTTGGAGCTCGGCTATAAAAGCCAACGTCCGTGAGCCCTAACCCTCAGCCCGTTCGCCGCCGCCGCTAGTGGCACAGCACCACACAACGTCAAGCCGAGAAGGAAGCTGCTGTGGGGAGGAGCTCGCCGGAGCCAGGAGCGCCGCCCCGATCAGCTACAGCGACGTAGCTGCTCGGCACGGCACTACATCACCTCATCACGGCCTCGCCTCGCCACCGCACCGCCATCCTACCGCCATGAACCCTACGGTGAGCCATCTTGCTGAGACCACCTCCCTAGCCAAATGGAACGTGCACCGCCATGATCGAAACCTTGCTGAAGCTTCGAGCTTTGGCCTAGCCCAACTGGTTAGCTAGGGAGACCGCCATGGCCACGCTTGCTGAGACCTAGACGCGCCGTGCGCGCTGCCATCAGCCAAAAGGAGGACCCCAGCCATTACGCAGTACATCGGAACAGGAGCACATAAGCACGGGCACGCTCACCATGGCCGAGAGCACGACCATGGCGAGACCACCGCGTCTTCTACGTCGCGGTGAAGGCGATGTTGACACAACAACTAGCCCCGCCATGACGAGAGCCACACCGCACTCACCATTAGCCGAGGAAGAAGCCCACCGGGGCCCTGCGTTGCCGCACCGCACCTCGACGGAGCGTCACCGCCTCTGTTTTGCCCCCACCACCGTGGCCGGAGCCACTGGGAGTACCAGGAGCTCCTTCAACACGCCCACCATGGTCGTAGAAGCACCGTGGAGCTCACACGCTCCTCCAACTGGACTCTCGCTACCACTGCTGCCCTGTTCATGCACGCCGATGAACCCATGCCGCCGTTCACCGTGGCCGAGACCCTAGGAAGCCCCAGCCGCCACCTTGACCCCACCACTACACTCGCCAAGGCATAGGGAAGCTATTGCCTACCCTAATCGGGCGCTAGCGCCGTCGCGTTGGCTCACCAATGACCTCACCGCCGGCGGGAGCCCCATCGGGGAAGAGAAGGGGATTTTCACCACGTCGACCCCGACCACGTCGACCACGACCACATCGACCACATCCCGAGCAGCTTTGCCGAGCTCCGACCACGACCACATCGACCACATCCCGAGCAGCTTCGCCGAGCTCCAACCACGACCACATCGACCACATCCCGAGCAGCTCCGACCACAACCACATCGACCACATCCCAAGCAGCTCCGACCACGACCACGACGACCACATCCCGAGCAGCTTCGCCGAGCAGCTCCGACCACGACCACGTCGTGCTCGTGAACCGAACCCTGGGAAGGAGTAAGTGGACCAAGTCCTTCATAGACCAGTTCTGCGGTCTATGGACCAACGCAGGTGGGTTCACCATGAACCGCGCCTCACCTGCGCCCGTGGACCACAGCCTGTTAGTGCCCCAGTAAGACGACGTGGCCGCAGCAGCGCGCGCCACGTGGCGGACCAAAGCCCAGCCCAAATCCAGGCCCAACCAGCCCAGTCGAGGCCCGGCCTGTATTGACCATTGACCGGTCAACGTTGACCGGTGACCGGGGGCCACCTGTTAGTGACTGTGATCCGTTGACCGTTGACTCACCCGTTGACTTGACGTTGACTTAGACCGGACCCACATGTCAGTGACCCAAGAGCCCTGGTCCCACCTGTCAGTAGCTGATGATGTAGATGACGTCATGCGACGTCAGCAGGACCCCACTTTTTAGCTCAGAGCCGAGCCGATGACGTCACGCTGACGTTAGCATGCCACGTGGACCAGTCACAGCGTGACACGTGTCAGCCTAGGATTAATTCAGCCTTTTCCCATTTTCAGAAATGATTTAAACTTCGGAAATTCATAACTAATTCATATGACGTCAGAAAAATACAAAACCAGGACCAAAATTCATCTAAAATCAAGCTCTACGCAATGAACCTATGTTTGAGTGCATTTGGCTCTTTTGAATTTCCATTGCTTCTATGTGCTATTCTATAGACGTCGCTAACACGACTATAATGCGATCGTTTGCAGACTCGGAGGAGAACCGGACGGACGAGGATCGTGAGTACCGTGAGGAGTACGGAGACGACTACACCGAAGGTGCCACATCCCACCCAATCTCGTAGCACCTATTACGCATGGCTAATATAGAACTGCTATGATAGGACTTGCATGGCAGTATGCTTACTTGATGGCCTTTACCTTGACGCAACCTTACCCCTACATACCCTGCTATTAGGCTAGACACACGCTTACTGCTATATTTCATTGCTTATACTTCTACTACGCTTATACTACATTAATGCGTGGTGGAAACTGGTGTTATCTGGACTATGGGGAGAGTGCTGCGTGTGTGACTTGGGTGTGTGGAGGGTGAGGGTTGTGTCGACCAAGTTGGAGTATACGACGAGCCTGGGGCAAGTCTTGCCGCGGGATGCTACCTGGGCACCCCTGGAACGGATACCTGTGGTGGGTAAATGGTATACGAGGTGGTCCTGGGTGTGAACCTGTGATGGGAGGAGCCCGGGATGGAGGTGCTGTGGTGGCACGGTAAATGGAAAACCTGATGGAGACATTCTGGCTTGGTCAATCCTAAGGACTTACTAGTACTCAGATTCACCGGGAAGCCTTATGTACCACTCGCCCTATATGGTGCGGGACGGCCGGACTACTTGGTAGGATATTGCCACTACTGCTAGGTTGATAGCGGACAGTGTAAGGAGGTACGGGGCGCGGAGGATTCCCCACACCCTTGCGAGACTTCATGGAGACCTTGTGGACCCGGCTCATGACTCACAGTTTCAGCCACCCTAGACTGGACTTGGGGTGTACCAGGGCTGAATGGTAGAGTGGCATTATCCTAGGCTAGCAAGCGGCCAAAATCAGCCCAGTTGACGACGGTCAGCGAAGAAGGCAGATCTTGTGGTTATATAAAACCTCTGTAGAGTGTATGGTTGATCGATCGATACATATGCCGACTTGTCGGCTATGGACCTTTCCTGGGTTTCGCTTAAACTAGATAGAGAGATGAGTCCTTCTCTTCTCCCCCTGGGGTGAGTGTTCAGACATAGTCCGGGGCTACGGGCCTTGAGACAGTGCCGAGAGGGAGTTGGCCTGTCGACTGAGAGATGGTATGGTGATGGTGTGGATGGTGGTATATCGAGTCCAGGATCGAAACCTGGCTCTGGAATGGGAATGGGGTGGAATGTGTGTGGGAATGATGTTAAAACTTGACTAACTATTATTATATACTTGATATACTATCGCATAGGAAACCCCAGCCTTATAGGTTCCTTTTAATTATATCCATCTTGCATCCAATTTCCACAAAGCATTGCTCATAGGGTGGGAGTGGCTAGTACAAATCATACTGATAAATTTTGGCACACAGGTTCTGCTAAGGAGTATAGCTCCGAGGAGTTTGATGGTTGAGGGATTCGTGCCTACGCTCGAGTTTGGCGATCTTATCTGCAAGCTGTTCCGAACGAATGCTACTTTTTGATTCCGCCAATGCGGCGATGTAATAATTTACGTAATTCTGCACTATTTGTACTCTGGTATTACCGTTGTATGGATGTGATATTCGACTGGAATTTGAGTAATATGATCTACAACGGTCTTATTACACTTCGACTCTGTGGATTTCCCTTCGCGGAAATCGGGTTGTTTCACTTGACACGTTCCTAGCTTCACTCTGGCGGTCTCTGCTATATGAATCTTATACGTCAACCTCACTACTGCTTTTCCTCTACATCACTTAACTGCTTTTGTCTCTACTCAAAGTCCTTGTGCGTGCGTATCACTCCTGATAAATTTCCACAATGTCCCTCTCAAAATTCACACCACTCTATATGCATTTTCACAATTGGCCAGCTGGGCAGGACAGATTCCCAAACTTATCTTGAGTCTATGTTGCCGTGGTGTCGACGTTCTGGAACCTTACGCCTAGTTCAAGTGTTCAACCAGACAGCCACCCTAGGTTTTGATTTGATTTCCTCTCTGCACTTGCTCCTGACAAGATTAATCATTGATTTTAAACTGATGATAAACAGGGACAAAATCTGGCTCATATATGTATGGACTATTTTGCTTTCTTTTTTCTGCATGCAGGACATCCGATTCTACAGGTTGCTTTGATCAGTCCTAATGGTAGCAGAGATGGTCAGTTCTACACTAGCCCAGGAGGCTGTTAACCAAGTCTTATCGAGAATCAAGGATGTTTATGAGGAAAAGTCAGATGCAAAGGAGCACATAGAGAGGATGGAGATGGCACACATCAAGCTAGAAGCCGCCCTTGAGACAACCAACAGGTAGAACGTCACCAGCTCGCCACTCCTGCGCTGGCGGAGCAAGCTCAAGCGTGCCTCACAGGAGTGCGACCACACTCTGCACCGGTGCAGGCAGCGATTCCAAGAAGAGGAAGAAGTGCAACAAGCAGTACAGAGCTCCTCCTTTCCGAAGAGGGTTGCTCATACTGCCAGGTCATTCGTTTCGTCAATCTTCAGTCGCAGTGATGATGACAAGCTGACAAGATCCACCGCCGTCCTGCGATTTGAGAGGTTTGCAGAAGGTGCAAGTGAATTCTTGAGGTACGTGGAGCTTAGTGGCACACCACGCAGATACATGTTTTTCGACCCTCTTATCACTGCTAGAAACAGACACTTTGCCGAGTGCAAAATTCTTTGCGAGTGTCAAAAATCGGGCACTCGGCAAATAATTGCACTCGGCAAAGAGTTCTTTGCCGAGTGCTGGGCACTCGGCAAAGGACTTTTTTGCCGAGTGTCGGACTCTCGGAAAATCTCGGCACTCGGCAAAGGCTGCTCCGGGTAACGGTGTTCGGCCACGTCCTTCTTAGCCGAGTGCCTGCTGTTAGGCACTCGGCAAAGAAATTTTTTTAATTTCTTTGCCGAGTGTCCCAGCTCTAGCAATCGGCAAAGATTTAATTTTTTTTTAAAATGTCTTTGCTGAGTGCCCTGTGAAGGCAGTCGGCAAAGTGGAAATTTAAAAAAAAAATTCAAAACCCTCTTTGCCGAGTGCCTTATTCGTGGCACTCGGCAAAGACCCCCTTTGCCGACTGCCATGCCCCGGCACTCGGTAAAGTTTTTTTTTTGGCCTCCAAATTTTTTGTGCAGCCTTTTAAGGCAACAGGAACTCCTAGTTAGAATTTGGAGAGTTTTTATGGGTTTTTGATATATTTAGTTACTTTATTTCTTTTACTTGATTTTTTTGAAAAAAATAATTTTGAACTGCACGTGGTACGAATACTGGAATTTAATGATTCAAAAAATGATAGTCATGTTACTGAGTGTAGTGTGAGGCCGTATCCAGGAACGGACCCGAAAGTTTGGACATCTTGTTCACGAAACATGACCGTAAACTTGCGTGCGAAGTGTTTTTAAATTCTATAAAAAGCAAATGAAGTCTGAAAATCATGAAACTTGTTGAGATGTCGTGATATCATATGTGGAGGCTATGATAAAAATTTCAGAAGTTTTCGCGCACGTTGTCAGGTACGATGCTTACAAACCAGGACATCTCTACGATGCCCCTGTCACCACACACACCATGCCGCACCTGCCTTGTTGCTCATCGCCAGCTTCCACCGTGCCACCACCGCCACCGGCGCTCCTCACCCCCACGGCCGGCCCTCACACGCCCCACGCCACGCCTGCCACGCCACGCCTGCCTGCCACCACGCTGCCTGCCCGGCCACTGCCCGTTCACCCCTGCCCTCGACCGATGACTCGACTCACCCCAACGCCACCTACTTACTCCCTGCCACTCATATACCTTCTCTCTTGTTTTTGTCATGGTAGTGATAGTTGTAGTAGTATTAGTTGTACTAGTAGTGCTAGTGGTAGTAGTAGTATTAGAAGTAGTGGTAGTAGTAGTACCACTAGTGGTGGTAGTAGTAGTAGAATTAGTGGTAGTAGTAGAAGTAGTGGTAGTAGTAGTAGTAGAACTAGTGGTAGTAGTTGTAGCAATAGTGGTGGTAGTTGTAGTAGAACTAGTGGTAGTAGTAGTAGCAATAGTGGAAGTAGTAGTAGAAGTAGTGGTGGTTGTTGTAGTAGAATTAGTGGTAGTAGTTGTAGCAGTAGTGGTGGTAGTTGTAGTAGAACTAGTGGTAGTAGTAGTAGCAATAGTGGAAGTAGTAGTAGAAGTAGTGGTACTACTTGGATATATTCTTCTGTATGGATTGATATCCAAATTACATGGCTTCTCTTGAGACTACTGTGCTTGTCGGGCATCGTGCCGCTGTTTTTTGTAGGTTTTGGAAACCTCACCGTGCAGGGGAGGTTCTGCCGAATTTTTTTTAAATGATAGTATTTTGTTCCATTTCTGTAGAGAAGAGCCCGTCGGAGCCGAGTCGGAGTTCCCATCGCCGTGCCGGTCTACTTGCACCGCGCCACCTCGCCACTGCACCAACCCGCCACGGCCCCGCTAGCCTGACTCCACCGCCACCCTAGGTATAACCCCTCTTTCCATATCATGGTCGTAGATCGCGTAACCCAGTTAGGCGTCGCCCGTTCGAAAGAGATACGGTTGGAGGTATGCAAATCTTTTCATATCTATGACCGTATCTGTTTTGGATTGTCCACGTTTTTTGGACAGCCGCGGATGCGTAGATGGGTTAGTTTCCATGGTCTACTCTGGTCCAAGACAGAGTTTTGGCATCACCTCACTGTTGTTCTCCGGATACGCACTCTTCTTAGGCCGGACGTGAATCTGGAGAACAACGGGGAGGTGCTGCCGAAATTCTGTCTCGGATAGGAGTAGAGCATGGAAACTAACCTCATCTACGCATCCGCGGGTGGGATTAGGACCTATCCTCACCTATTAGATAGTAGAAACACCATGTAGATGCAATTGATGGTTACATTACTCACTGATATATATGTTAGAGGATGGAGAACCGTCAGTGGATGTACACGGGCTGGAGAAGTCAGAGTGATTAGACCATGGAATGGATGAACAAGACCGATGCTTTCTTGAACAGTGCATTTGGCAAGGCTGCTAAAGGACATTGCCTAGTTTTGTGTCCCTGCAGCAAATGTGGAAACAGAAGGAGGGTAAACAAGGTGGAAATGGGTAAGCATCTTGTGAAGAATGGATTTACGTCGGACTACACCCGGTGGGTCCACCATGGTGAAGCCCATCGTATGAGAGAGGAGGTGGTGAGACCACGGGTGGAGGCTTTTGATGCTGATATCGGGGTACCAGACATGTTCGATGACTTTCACCAAGGACAGTTCGATGAGGGACGTGAGAAGGAGGAGATGGAGGCAGCCGCACAGGCGTTCTACGACATGACGGACTCGGCACAGAAACCCCTTCACGATCGGTCAACGGTGTCTCAACTGGATGCCATTAGACGCTTAATGGGGTTGAAGTCCGAGTTAAACTTGAGTCGACCTGGCTTCGATAAGATGTTGGCCGTGATTGGCACCCTACTTTTGGAGGGCCACATCCTTCTAAAGAGCATGTACGAGTCACAGAAACTCCTTTGAGCACTTAAGATGTCGTATGAGCACATACATGCTTGTCCGAAGGGATGCTTCCTGTTTAGGAAAGAACACGAGAATGCAAAGTTCTGTCCAAAGTGTAAATCCTCCAGGTACCTGGAGGTAGACTCTGATGATGGCCAGAAGAGGCAACTTACGATCCCCGAAAAATCCTACGGTACCTTCCGTTCCTACCGAGGATCCACCGGCTATACATGATCGAGGAATCCGCGAAACAGATGACATGGCCAAAAATGGCAAATAGTACAATCCTGACAAGATGGTACATCCATCCGATGGTGAAGCTTGGATCCGCTTTAATGACAAACATCGTGACAAAGCAGATGAGGCTCGTAATGTACGTGTCGCGCTGGCAACAGATGGGTTCAATCCTTTTGGAATGATGGCTACCCCATACACATGTTGGCTCGTCTTCGTTATCCCCCTTAATCTCCCCCCGGGTGTCTCCTTTCAACGACATAACGTATTCTTGTCGTTGATAATTCCTGGACACCCAGGGAGTAATATGGGTGTGTTCATGGAGCCCGTGTTTGATGAATTGGTCCATGCTTGGGACGAAGGGGTATGGACATACGATCGATCTACAAAGACAACTTTCAAAATGCACGTTTGGTACCACTACTCCCTGCATGACTTCCTGGCGTATGGGATATTCTGCGCCTGGTGTGTTCACGGGAAGTTCCCATGCCCAATATGCAAGGAAGGTGTGAGGTTCATTTAGTTGTAGAAGTGTGGCAAGTATTCGTCATTCGACAGACATCATCAATTCCTACCTCTTGACCATCCATTCAGACAAGACATCAAGAACTTTACGAAAGGTGTCAAAGTGACAAACCTTGCACCGTGGATGATGACTGGTGACGAGGTTCATGCTCAGATAGATGCTCTCGTGCCTAATGAAGAAGATGGTTTTGTGGGATATGGTGAGCAACATATGTGGAATCATATCTCGGGCATGACGAGGCTCCCCTATTTCGATGACCTTCTTCTGCCACATAACATTGATGTAATGCGCACTGAAAAGAATGTCGCCGAGGCACTTTGGGCAACACTCATGGACACTGAAAAGTCTAAGGACAACCCTAAGGCTAGAGTGGACCTGGCAACATTGTGCGATAGACCAAATCAAGAGATGCAGCCTCCCAGTCATGGTAAGACCTAGAGAAGGCCTAAGGCCGATTTTGTCTTGAAAAAGGACCAAAGGAGGGAAGTACTTGAATGGATCAAGACGCTAATGTTTCCTAATGGGTATGCAGCGAATCTAAAGAGGGGAGTGAACTTAGGCACTCTGCGAGTAAACAGGATGAAGAGTCATGACTACCACACATGGATTGAGCGGCTTCTTTCGGCGATGGTTCAAGGCTATGTCCCGGAGCATGTCTGGCAAGCACTGGCAGAGTTGAGCTACTTATTCCACCAGCTTTGTGCCAATGAGCTCTCTCGGACCATCATTGATGACTTGGAAAAGGCGGCACCGGTGTTGCTTTGTAAGTTGGAGAAGATCTTTCCACCTGGCTTCTTCTTGCCGATGCAGCATTTGATTGTGCACCTCTCATATGAGGCACGGATGGGGGGGGCCCATGTAGAACCGTTGGTGCTATCTAATCGAGAGATATCTAAAGACTCTTCGTAAAAAATGTAGAAATAAAGCCAAAATTGAGGCTTCCATTGCAGAGGCATACATTCTAGAGGAGGTGTCGAACTTCACAGAGAAATACTACACTGAGAAACTTCCTAGAGTTTATAATCCACACCCTCGTTACAATACTGGCGAAAATGAATCGAACCTCAGCCTTTTCCAAGGGCAACTCGGAAGCACAAGTGCATCGACCACTAAGCAATTGAAAAATGAAGAGTGGCGCAGTATCATGCTATATGTGTTGACCAACCTTGTCGAGGTGCAACCGTTCGTTGGGTAAGTTCTGAACGAACTTGTATCATTTCGTCGTATGTCCTTGTTTCTTCGTCCAACCCCTTGTTTCTCGTTGGTACAGGGAATTTCTTCATCAATCGTGGCATGGATCGAGACAACCTACCCCGTAATAAAATGATACCCTTCTTTCACGGGGTGCGGGGCTAGGGAGCCCCGATTTCATTTCTTGGTTCAAACAGAAAGCCCAAATTGATGCGTCTGTAAGTGACGAGCTGAGACAGGTTGCAAATGGCTGTGCCGTTAGGGTCAAGTCATTTACCGGTTATGATGTGAATGGATATCGTTTTCACATAGCAAGCTACGAGTAGAGTCGGTCCAATCGAAAAACCACAAACAGCGGAGTTGTTACGTCAGGCACTAATGGACTCGACTATTATGGAAGAATTGAAGAAATCTACGAACTATCATTCTATGGTTCCAAACCTCTTACTCCTATCATATTCAAATGCCACTGGTTTCATCCTAGAGTAACGAGATGGACCCCTAAGCTTGGGCTAGTCGAGATTCGACATGATTCCGTCTATCCAGAAAAAGATGTCTACATTGTGGCTCAACAGGCCGTCAAGGTTTATTATACGTCATACACGTGCAAAGACGCCAAGCATCTTAAGGGTTGGTCTATTGTGCACAAGGTATCGCCACACGGTAAACTACCTGTCCCAAACGATGAAGATTACAACTTCAACCCAAACACATATGATGGAGAGTTCTATCAAGAAGAGGGACTACAAGGAAGGTTTGACATAGACTTAACCGAAGAGATAGGAATGGAAGTAGACAATGAAATGGATGATGATGAGGACGCTGGAGACGAGGTGCGAAATCTGAAGGACATACAAATGCTTGAGCGATTACGTTTAGGCAATGATAATGAAGACAACATTCCTCCTTTGGATAGTGTTGATGAGTTGGACAATGTTGATAGTGATGATGAGACCTATGATCCAGCTAACCTCAATCATGAAGATTATTTCTAATACATGTAATACTATGTTTTTTGTAATTATGTTTTGTTTATTTTTACAAATATTTCTAATACATGTATTACTATGTTTTTTGTAATTATGTTTTGTTCATTTTTGCACCTATTTCTAATTATGTCTTGTTTTTCTTTTTTGTTGCAGGTGATTGAACAAAGATGGCGGGTGACCATTATAGGTCCGTGAACTCGATATACCAAAGATCATGCCGGCTGTAGGAGGAGGGGGAGGGGGCGGCAGAGGGATCGGACAGGAGATGGAGGAGGACTGCCAGACTCAGGAGGGGGCCGTCTCCTCCCACGCCGCGTGAGGAGGAGCCAGAGGAGGAGGTTGTGCCCGTGGACGAGTCGGACGATGAGCTGGTTCGGCAGACGACGAGCAGGAGGGGCCGCACGAGGACGACGAGTTGGAGGCGGCAGGCACGGGTTCCACTTCCTCTGACTCCTCTTCGAGTGTCTACTTGCGAGGTCCCACGAGCCTTCCACATGTTCCGCTTCCTCACCAACGTCCAGTGATTCGCCCTGAAGGGCAAAAGTAAGTAACTTTATATGTTATCACCACCACTTCATATGATATGATGAAAAAAACTAATAATTTTTCTTAATCACTTGTGCAGGAACTGGGTGGTTGTGTCGGGTGGTAACGCACAACTAGTCAATGGCATCCTGGGTCTTCTGTGCAGGCAACACTTCCTCGGCATTGTCACGTATGCATCGAAGACGGAGCCGGCCTACTCGTTTGACCACTACGCCGTCGCCACCGACGCGGAGTACCCCAACAAGGCGGCGCGGGTGAAGGCAGAGCTTTGGGTAAGTCTCCCTCGCACAACATTGCTCAATACGTCGCATTCATTGGACTTTTCTTGAAATAATGAATGGATACATCGCTTTTGTATGCAGACTTATTACACATGCGAGGAGGGATTTGAGGCCAGGGCGGAGCAGGTGACTACCAAAGCTTATAAAAAACTCATCTCCGACATGCATTATGAGGTGCGCATCCAGGCCATCGTAACCAACTACGGGTCGAAGCTTGGAGAGAGGAAAACCAAGAAAGACGCAAGAGAGATGCAGCTGACCCGGGAGCAGTACCTTGAGGTAAATGAAGAACATCAATATTGATTCGTTTTGAGATTAAGTTGGTTTAATTTGATCTTCTTATATGTCCAATACTTGATGACGTGTAGATGATTCCCTGGTGGTGCCAAGCGTATCCCGAGTGCTGGGCGATGATGGTGGACAGGTGGTTCACGGAGGACTACCTCAAGATGCACAGGGATGCCCGGGACCGTCATTTGCAGATGAAAGGTCCAGCACACCATCAAGGCAACCGCAACCTCGCTGGATACAAACAAGCATGGGTACGCGAATTCATTTATCTATTGTGAAGCTCAGTTCTACCTGATTTTTAATCATCGTGCTGTCTTTCTCCCAGTCGGCATCACATAGTGGTCAGGCTTGCTCGGACTTCCAGGCATGGTGTATGGCCCACAAGGGCAAGGCGACGTCTAACGTCTCCTTCAACCTGGAGGACCCGCCCGAGGCATACACGAACCCGAGCGTCCACTCCCGCATCAGTGATTACACCGAGGTAGCAAGGTCGCTCCATGGGTTAGACCATGATCCGAGCACCTAGGACTTCGATGGAGAGGCCGTCATGAGGGCGGGGCAAGGCAAGAAGCATGGGTGGTTCTAGCTTGGTGACGGCGTCATCGACACGGCCTCTACTCCCTCTCTGTCCTAGATCCGAGCACGGAGCACGAGCGAGAGCCCGGCCATTCGCACACGGCCGACTGCTGCACAGCACCGGGTCGACGCACTCGAGGTTATTCCTGTTTTACTCGTCACACATTGACCTTTACACACCTTAATTAGCTTTGCATTACTGAAACATTGGAGTGAAATATTGCAGGCCCGGCTGGAACAAGAAATGAGGCAACGTCTGGAGCTGGAGGCCGGGCACCAGAGGATGGTGGCCCAGCTGGAGGCCGAGTGGGCCGAGCGGGAGGCCGAGCGGGCCGAGCGGCAGGCCCAGGCGCAGAGGCTGACGGACATTACGGAGTTCCTACAAGGACTTGGACAACGTGTGGGCTTCTCTCTGCCACATGGGCTGTTGGTTCCACCTCCGCCTCCGCGTCCTGCAGCTACAGCTACTCTTGTGAGTATGAAAGTTTTTTACTTTCACTTGTGCTTTGCTTGTATGGCCTCTACCTTACTAGATTAGCTATCCAAATAATCTTGTCTCACATGTAATCTTTTCGCCTTTGTACAGTCTCCATCTGACGGTGGCTCGAATAATCCATCTCATGCACCTCCGAATGATGGAGCTGGGCCTTCACCACAGTCGCCTTGGCCGAGATGAGTGCACGTTGTATTTTTTTCATTTGTTGTTCACTTTGTGATATACTTGTGATGCACTTGTGGACTTTGATGGACTTGTGAATTTATTTGGATGGACTTGAGCACTTATTATTATATATGTGGTATATATTGTGATGGATGTGATATGTGTGGATGGATGTGTGGATGGATGAGATATATATGTGATGGATGAGATATATGAGATGGATGAGATATATATGTGATGGATGTTTGTATGAATTTATTTGTCATGATGGAATGAAAAAAAATTACAGTTTTGGGTCACTTTGCTGAGTGTTGCACTCGGCAAAGGACCCCTTGTTTAGTGTAATGGTCACAGAAGATTTTCGGCAAAGCTGGAAAAATGGGTGTCCGTAAACTCATTTTTCCAGCTTTGCCGAAAGTGTCAGATTATGACACTCGGCAAAGAAATTTAAAAAAAAAATTCAAACTTTGCCGAGTGCCGAATAGATGGCACTCGGCAAAGAAATTTAAAAAAAATTAAAAATCTTTGCCGAGTGTCGTATAGAGGGCACTCGGCAAAGAAATTTAAAAAAAAATAAATAAATATCTTTGCCGAGTGCCGTACAGAGGGCACTCGGCAAAGATATTTTTTTAAAAAAAAAATAAAAATCTTTGCCAAGTGCCTGAAGGTTGGCACTCGGCAAAGAAATTTTGTAAAAAAAATATAAAAACTCTTTGCCGAGCGCCCTAAGGGTTGGCACTCGGCAAAGATTTTTTTTTTTAAAAAAATAAAAAATATTTGCTGAGTGCCTGTAGGATTGGCACTCGACAAAGTGACCGTCAACGGGACCGGCGCCGTGACGGTCGCTTTTCTTTGCCGAGTGTCCCCGGGGCATTCGGCAAAGCCTTTGCCGAGTGCCCGATAAAAAACACTCAGCAAAGAGTGTTTTGCCGATCAATTTTTTACCGTGTGTTCTTTGCCGAGTGCCGCACTCGGCAAAGGCTTTGCCGAATGCAATCTGGCCTTTGCCGAGTGCCTTAGGCACTCGGCAAAGAACCTGAATCCAGTTGTGTATACGCCATCTTCTCACCAGCAAAGGAACAAAGCATTGCTTTGTTAGCAGGGGTCAACATCTTTCATTTGTTTTACAGCCGTTTAGCCCAACAGAGCATGGGATGGAGGGTTGCCTAACATTATTACTTGAAGACACAAATGCTTCAGAGAATAATTTCCTTCTTGCCCTCAGCTTACGGCTCTCTGAGAGTACAGATGTAGTTGGGGTTGCAGTTAGATGCCTGCACCTGTTCACACCTTACTTAAGCTCAACAGCTGAGACTGTGAAGACAAAGCTCACACAGGTACCAACTACCAACACAAGACTTGTGCTGGGTGTCTGATGCTTATTCTGGTTTAGGATGCTGTGATGAACACCTGAACAATCTTCACACCATCTATTCTAAATGGTTTCGACCGAACCCACTTTGTTGCCAGCAACAAGATCATGACTACACCCAGCGCTACAATGCTACAAGCTCATCATCAAAATCATTGCCATGTGATATATACTTGGAACCAGTTATCCAAGTGTATTTGCTGGGCCATGTCACACTGTCTGTTAGGAACAACAGGCAGAGGGCAGTCGTCGATGGAGAAAGCGAAACAAACCCCATAGGGGACTGCCCATATCTAAAACTTGGAGCGCGTTTCTGGCCCCATGCCTCATTTGAAGATTTGTCACCTGGAATCGACAGTTCAGCAACAGAAATCATCAATGGGGTGGCTGCGCAACGTGGCATGTATGCAAAAAATTCATTTGAACAGTTGACCGACATTATGATACCAAAGGCAGTAGATTGCCTTCGCAGGGATGTGGCAGCTACCTCATATCAGATTCTATGGAAGTCCAAGCATGGCGGCTCATACATTCAGGTTGAGAAGACCTCATGGAGAGGAACCACTCAAAAAGTTCGACAAAGAAAACAACCTAACCGATGGCCATGCAAGAAGGTCCAGGGATGGGCAAGTGTGAACAATGAGTTCATATGCTCGTGGATTAGACATGCGTCTACCCAGTTGAAGGACTCAGTGGTGGACTGGATTCAGAAAGAAAGACGATTGCCACAACCGTTATTATTGAAAACAAATTCCTGCTTCCGTGACTGTCCAATCATGTTGCTGTCGTTACAAGATCACAGATCTTTGGTAAGGACAATCAAGTCACACAGCACGTTCAGTGGCTGAAGGACTTTCACTTACTTGTGCTTCAACTACCTTGATGAACAAAATATAGTTGAGCCGTTGGTGTGTTTTGCTAATATAAGACTACATAGGGGTTTCCTGAAAAATGTACTAGCTATTTGTAGAGATAATGAAATGGCAAGGTTCGGATGTGTCGTTGTCACAGTAATGACTGCTTGTCAATGTTGGTGAGTTCTTTTTGCTTCAGTCATTCTCGATCATGAAGTGGTGGTGATGCAAGCCGCCTCTATAAATCGATTTATAGAGGCGGCTCTATTTTCAGCCGCCGCCTCTAGAAATCGATTTCAGCCGCCTCTAAAAATAGGAGCTGCACAATAAAATTTGATTTTTTTTCAAACTATCTCGGATGGAGAAACAACAAAAATGAAAGTTATGCAACTTTATAGCTGATATTTTTTAAAATCATCTATGCATGCAAAATTACGTTTGGATTTCTTATATTTGAAATTCAAAATTTTGAAATGTCCTTGATGGAGAAACTACCAAAATCAAAGTTGTAGATCTCGAAAAGCTATGAAACTTTGTAGTTGATGGCGTTTTCATTTAAACTCATCTATGCATGAAAAATCTACGTTTGAATTTCTCACATTTGAAATTTGAACTTTTCAAACAATCTTAGATCGAGAAACGATCAAAACAAAAGTTGTATATCTCGAAAAGTGACGCTACTTTGAAGTTGACAACTTTTTTGTTTGAGACCATTTATGCATGGAAGACCTCGGATGGAGAAAAGCCTAAAACTAAAGTTGTAGTCTCGAAAAGTTATAAAACTTCATAGTTGCCAACTTTTTCATTTGAATTCGTTTAGTATGAAGATAAAACGAGGAGGACAAATATCCCAAATTGATATAAGTGTGTTATAGATGGAGTGGTTAGGTGACAAACGCGCGAGGCGTGCGGTTGTGCACGTTTTTCGCACAAATAGTTGCGTGACTTGCTACGGCGCACCATGTGTGTGGCTGTCAGGTCTCCCGAGATTGAAAAAAATGTTATTTCTTGACCTAAACTTGCGATTTCTGGACAACGATTTGTACACATGGCTTGAAGTGCAGGCACCTCTACAAATCGATTTTTAGAGGTGGCTAGACAACCACCTCTACAAATCGTTCATTCATAGAAACGAAAGAGCATAGGCGGCTGGGCCAACCGCCTCTACAGGGGCATCCCAGCCGCCTCTGAAGACATTTTCTGTAGTAGTGGCAACTATAGCACAGGCGTTATATGACTCATGTAATAGTGATATTGCCAATATCATAGCCGAAGTATATTTTTTGGGTAACAACACGATACATGTACATACTTATATTCTCCGTTTATTAGTCTACCGTCGACAAGATTGCTTGGTCATGTGTATGGGATTCTAGCGCACAATGGGACATGCTGCCCACACCCGACGCGTTCCTAGTTAACTTCCATGGGCGTGTCGATATATATCAGTCCACTCTGGCGGTCTCCGCGATTTGTTCTGTACTGTACATCAACCATCTTCTGTCACTCTTGCGGTCTTCACGATGTGACCCGCACATCAACCTCACTGCTACTTTGCCCTCTACATCACATAAATGTCTTTTCCCTCTATTCAAAGTCCTCCTGCGTGCGTATCACTCTTGATAATTTTTCCACAATGTCCCTCTCACGAATGAAGTACCTCTCAATATGTATGGCCGGTTTGGGCAGGATAGATTCCCCAACTCTTGTGTCTGAGTTGCTGTGGTGTCGACTTTCTGAGACCCTACAGCTAGTGCAAGTGTTCAACAATGCCAGGTTTTGATTTCCTCTCCGCACTTGCAGTTTACAGGATCAATCGTAGATTTTAGACTGATGAACAGGAACAATCTGACTCATATATGTATGCAATATTTTGCTTTCTTTTTGTGCATGCAGGACAACCGATTCTACAGGTTGCTCTGATCAATCTTAATGGCAGCAGAGATGGTCAGTTCTGCACTGGCCCAGGAGGCTGTGAACGAAGTCTTATCAAGAATCAAGGAGGGTTACGCGGAGAAGTCAGATGCAAAGGAGCACATAGAGAGGATGGAGATGGCGCACATCAAGCTAGAAGCCTCCCTTGAGACATCCCACAAGTGGAACATCAGCAGCGCGCCACTGGTGCGCTGGCAGAGCAAGCTTAAGGGTGCCACACAGGAGTGCGACCGCACTTTGCGTCGGTGCAGGCAGCGATTGCAAGAAGAGGAAGAAGTGAAACAAGGGCTACAGAGCTCCTCCTTTCCTAAAAGGGTCGTTCATACTGCCATGTCATTTGTTTCGTCAATGTTTAGCAGTGGTAACGATGAAGAGCTAAGAGGATCCACCGCTGTCTGGCGATTTGAGCGGTTTGCTGATGGTGCGAGCGAGTTCTTGAGGTACGTCGAGCTTGGTGGCACACCATGCAGATACATGTTCTCCGTGCCTCTTATACGCCATCTTCTCGCTGGCAAAGGAGCAAAGTATTGCTTTGTTCGTGGGGGCCAACATCTCTCACTTATTCTGCAGCCCTTTAGTCCACCCAACAATGGGATGGAGGGTAGCCTAATATTCATACTTGAAGATGGCAATACCCCAGAGAATAATTTCATTCTTGCCCTCAGCTTACGGCTCTCTGAGAGTATTGACATAGTTGGGGTTGCAATCAGATGCTTGCAGCGTTTCATACCGTACTTGAACTCAACGGCCGAGATTGTGAAGACAAAGCTAACCCAGGTACCAATGCAAGACTTGTGCTGGGTGTTCGATCGTTATACAGTTTATGGCTATGATGAACAACGGAACAATCTCCATACCATGTGTTCCAAATGGTTTCGACCAAACCTATTTTGTTGTCGACAACAAGACCATCCTCACGTTCAGAGCCCCTCTTCAGAATCATTACCAAGTGATATATACTTGGAACCTATTATCCAAGTGTTCCTGCTAGGACAGGTCGCACTGTCAGCTGGCAACAACAGGCAGAGGACAATTGTCGATGGTGAAAGCCAAAAAAGCCACACGAGAGATTTTCCATATCTGAAACTTGGAGCACACTTCTGGCCTCATGCCTCTTCTGAAGATTTGCCACCTGCTGTCGGTGGGTCAGCATTAGAGATAATCAACGATGAAGCCAAACAACATGGCATGTATCCAAACATTTCCTTCGAACAGCTGGGTGAGATCACGAGGCCAAAAGCAGTAGATTGCCTTCGCAGGAATGTGGCAGCTACCTTGTATCAGATGCTGTGGAAATCCAAGCATGGCAGCGCATACTTTCGGGTCGAGAAGACCTCATGCAGAGCAACCACTAGGATAGACAAAGTTGGACAATGTCGTAAGCAATGGAGGGACAAGAAGGTTCCGGTTCAGTGATGGACAAGTGGTAACAATGAGTTCATTGTCTCATGGATTGCGCATGCGCCTGCCCAATTGCAGGGCTCAGTCATCGACTACTGGATTCAGAAAGAAAAGCAATCAGCACCACCGTTATTATTGAAAACTAATGGCTGCACCCGTGATTGTCCAATCATGCTATCATCTTTGCAAGATCACAGATATTTGGCTAGGAAGCTCAAGTTGTCCAGCACGTTCAATCCCTGAACGATTTCCACTTGCTTGTACTACCTTGATGTACATAATAAAGTTCAACTATTGTTTGTGTTGCAAACATAAGATTATATAGGGTTGACCTATAAAATGTACTTCCTTCTCATTCCAAATTATAAGTTGTTCAGCCTTTTCTAGGTATGTAGCTTTTGCTAGATACTTAGATATACATTATGTCTAAATATTTTGAAAAGTTTACAACTTGGAACCGAGGGAGTAATAACTATTTTGGGGGAGACATTCAGTTCTAACCGAACTTTCAGTCCGGTTTATTTGTTTTCGTTAATTTTGGATTTTGGAGAATATAAGAGCGAGAGTTATGCCAGAGAACCAACAACTGATGGTTTCGGTACCCAAACATTTTTTTTTATGAAGCTGGATGGGTTTGCTGATAGGACCCGAGGTCCTACCGGAGTTGCTGCGGAGGTTGTACGGATGAAAGAGGGGAGGGCGAGGTTTGATCTCTCGGCGACGGCGTGGTGCCGTGGCAGCGAGGGGAAGAGGCGGCGGTTGCTTGCTGCTGCTGCCCTAGGGCAGTGCGTGAGAGAAGGCAGCAAGGAGTCACGTACGTAGCCCTTGGCCCTTGAGGCCAGGCAAATAATGTTTGCCTTGCTTGCCTACTCCAATAAGTGTTAACAGACATATACAGCCTATCTATAAATCCTATTTTAAGAAATAAATATCCTAATTGAGGAAAATAGCAAGTAAAGATAACTGGGCTAATAGCCCATCTAATCCGGGCGCCTTCTGCGCGCCAGCCTCTAGCCAGGCGCCCCCCTTTGCGCCGGTCTCTAGCCACCGGTACATCGGCATGTGTATTGGACGCCGGTCATAACATCTCTCCCCGCCTGGAGAAACAGCTCGTCCTCGAGCTGGAAATCTGGGTAGAGGTCTTGGAATGCTTGGAGCGGCTCCCAGGTAGCATCATTCTCTGTCATGCCGCGCCACTGAATAAGAACATGCCAAACGCCCCGCCAGAGCTGGGCACGGATGGCACGCTCAGGACCTTGAAGAAGGCGACCATCGAGCGTACACGGCAGAGGAGCAGGAGCAGTCGGAGGATCTCCCTTGTGCGGTTTCAGCAAACCCACGTGGAAGACATCATGAAGACGGGTGCCCTCTGGAAGCTGAAGGCGATAAGCGACGGTGCCAATGCACTCCAACATCTGGCTCGGGGCTCGAGGGACTGCATAGTACAGTGGAGCAGGCGCAGCCACACCCAGTCCCCCACAGCATACTCCAAGTCACGGTGAGAGGTGTCATAGTACTTCTTAGACAGCTGCTGCGCTTGAAGCAGGCATTTGTGGATCTCAGCAAGGAACCCATCTCGATCGCGTAGCAAAGTATCCACCTTGTCTGTCTTGGTCGTCCCAGCCGTGTAGGGCAGCAGAGGTGGAGCGGACAGCCAT